TTTAAGGCAGTAAATGTTGTTCCAGTACGCGAAATGAAGATCACAAGCTTAGTGCCGTGGACACAAGAATGCTGCGGTGGGCATTGGGTATCACCTTGCTAGACCACGTCTGTAATGACACAGTTCGAGCAGGGAAGAAAGTTGCTCCTATCGTTAAGAAGATGCAGAAAAAACGACGTCGATGGTACGGGCCTATGAGCAGAAGAGATGGGACTCACATCAAAAGAGAGGCAATGTCTTGGAAGTCGCTGGAAAAAGACCACGGGGAAGGCCAAAGATGAGGTGGATGGACAGAATCAGGCTGTCTTGAAAGAGCTTATGATAGACGAACGTCACGCCTTGAATCGAGAATACTGGAGACAGTTGACTATAGACCATGCGTAAGCGGGAAAATGCGAAGATCAAAAAAAAAAAGGGCTAAGCTTTGTTTTTGGAGAAACACCACGAAATTTGACTGATTTTTTGTTGGCAGCGCAGATATTTACTTCAAGATAAAATAATTAGAAATTTAGGGTTGCAGTCTTTCTATGCAATGATTATCGAGAACGTTGTTGGAGAGCAGATTGTGAAGCCAACAGACACGTTATGTGTGTTATTTCATCTTTTATAATTCTTTTACAGTGTATCCCCTAATTTTCGCGATTGCAGTACCCTACCATGCTCGACCTGAATGGGCTGCTAGAGTTAAGAAAGAGTCGGAGTCTCTTATCAAACATTTCCATTTGAACGAATTGGAGAGCATGACCACGTCCACAAGCAGAAAAAGAGCAGATGGTAAGAGTCTTGACCAACTGCCTTCAGAATTGTCTCCAAAGGCGATCTCAGTTTTTCTTTGAAAGCAGAACATTCTTAGACTCTTCACACAATGGCGTTCGCAGTAAGAAGGCAAAAGCTGATGTAGCCGAAATGGACACCCATGAGATGGCAAAGAAGGGCTTAGTACGTAATAGATGAGTTTAGTTTTGATTTTGAACCTTCTGTCTTTCCTTGTTTTCAGCTAGACACCCTAACCGTTGCCCAACTACGCGCTGCTATTGGGGAACACCTTGCATGTTCAGTGAAACAAGGTACAAAGAAAGCAGAATTGGTTGCAATGCTTAAAAAACACTTTAAAGTTTGATTTTACTTGTATTTACTGTCATTTTTAATTTTTTTCTACCTCATTTTGATGATCTGAACTGTATCACTCTGGTATCATGTACTGTTTTTGAAATGTATAGCCTAATTCATAAATTATTCATCTCGAGACATAATAACAGTTTACCTTTTCAATTATTTATTGTTTCGATGGAGAAACACTAAAATTGGGTAGTCGAAGCGTTTGAAACATTAGACATGAAATGCGGAGGGAGGGCACAGAGGGAGGAAGGGGGACGGAGAGGAGAGAGAGTATTCCGCTATGATTGATGGCTCGAATTGGCATTCGATTCAAA